AGGAGCGTGGTGGTAGATACAAGGGTTTACCGGGGCTCTAGCGTAGGGACGGATTATTACTTGGTCTTATGCCGAATTAATGGTCTTTTCAGACGTTGGAGGCATCGGACATCTGTATCTACCACTGCGTTACAGCGTATAAGAACAGAGAGGTTACAAGATGAAGGTGTGAAAGAGAAGTTCAAATGTAGATTGAGAGAAAATATAAGTGGTATGGCTGAATTGTGTATGAATGATTTAGACTTGGAGACTGTGTGATATAATGTCAAGAAACGTTTAGTGGATGCAGCTACCGAAGTATGTGGTGTAAGTAAGAGAACGAATGAAAGGAAAAATAACACGTTATGGTGGGATGATGAGGTACGGATGGAAGTTGAAGCAAAGAAGAAAGCATGGCTAGATTTCATAGCAACCAAGGCTAGTAATTCTAGCAGTATGAATGATGATATTGAAAGGAAAAAGGCAATTTTTAAACACTACAATAAGAGAGTAAAAGAAGTAGTTGAAAGGAAAAAGCAAGAAAGAACGGATAAGAATGATAGAAGAATATCGGATAACTTCCAGGCAAACATTAAAATGTTCTGGAAACTCGTAAGAACTACCAGGGGACATTCAAAACAGCCTAGAATGAATGCTATACGAGACCTGAATGGCTGTATTCTGAATGACGAAGTTTTGAGTTTAAGGAGATGGAAGGAATACTTTGAAAGCATGTTTATGAGTGATGAGACGTTTGAATTAAATGAAGTCCGAAACAATAGGAAATAGATAGAGATATAAGTATAGATGAAATAATGAAAGCAATGAAAAGTATGAAAGCAGGTAAGGCAGCCGGTTATGATAGAGTATCTCTCGAAATGGTGAGGGCTGGAGAAGGGGTGGTGGCAGCCCTGCTGTACACCTTGTTTAATTTATGTTGGGAACTTAAGCGGGTACCGGGAGACTGGGTCAAAGCCGTGATAGTCCCAATATATAAGAGAAAAGGATCACAGCAGGACTGTAAAAACTACCGTGGTATCAGCCTTCTTAGCATTGTGGGAAAACTGTATGCTAAGGTACTAATTGAAAGAGTTATGAAAGAAACTGATGGAAAAATTTGGGATGTACAAGCGGGATTTAGAAAGGGAATGGGATGTACGGATCAGGTCTTTTCCATGCGCATGATCGCGGAGAAGTTTTTGGCCAAAAACCAAAAAGTGTTTTTGTGCGTTCATAGACTTGGAGAAGGCTTATGACAAAGTGGACAGGGATGTGTTATGGCAAACACTGAACTCATTTGGGTTGAGCGCTGGTCTGATACAGGCATTGAAGTCTCTATATAGGGACTCTAGTGCTTGTGTCAGGATCAACGGGGCCTACTCGGACTGGTTTGGCATCCATAAAGGTGTCAGACAGGGCTGTGTGGCCTCCCCGTGGTTGTTCAACCTATTTATGGACAGTTGTTTGGAAAATATTAAAGTAGAAGAATGCGGGTTAAGAATGGGTGAGTTAACCCTCAAATGCCTTTTGTACGCCGATGATCAAGTCATACTTGCGTCGTCTGTAGCCGAGTTGCAAATGATGGTTACATTAATGAACAGGACATTAAAAGAAAAGGGAATGAAAGTGAACGCAAGTAAGACGAAAATTATGGTTTTTGAAAGAGAAGAAAGTAAAACGATATGTGAAATAAGAATAGAAGGGGAGTTGGTAGAGCAAGTAGATGAGTTTGTATATTTGGGATGTGTGTTTAGCAGGGATGGTAGATATGATAAGGATATAGAACGACGAGTGAATGCAGGAAATAGAGTGAATGGGGCTCTACACTCTATTGTGAAAAGTCAGAATGTGTCCAAAAAGGCACGTATGGCAATTCACAATGCTCTGTTAGTACTTTAATGTATGGTAGTGAAAGTTGGATGTGGGAGAAGAAGCACGATAGTAGAATAAATGCTGTAGAAATGCGGTCATTAAGGAGTATGTTAGGGATGAATTTGAATGACAGAGTGAGAAATTGTTTAATAAGAGAAGAGTGTGGTTTGCAAGATGATGTTGTGACCAGGATTAAGAAAGGAATGATTCGGTGGTATGGTCATGTAGAAAGAATGAATGAGGAAAGAGTGACAAAGCAAATTTATGTTGCAGAGGTGAACGGCATAGTCGGGAAGGGTCGCCCTAGGCGAAAGTTTATAGACCAAATTGGCGATAAAATAAAAATGGGCCAAATCAGGAGTACCTTTAATCGACGAGCGTGTATGCGAAGGTATATGGATGTGGAGGAAGCGAGAGAGGTGTGTCAGGATCGTGCCAAATAGAAGTCCATAATCTCTGCCTACCCCTCTGGGTGACAGGCGTGAGTGTTTATGTATGTATGTATTTATATATGTATATATTGTGTGTATTTAAGTATATATATCTATGTTTGTGTGTGTATATGTATATTTATATGTATATATGTATATACAATACTTGTTTTGCGCGTTCTATTTTGATTACTGCTGCACCGCCTCTTGTTTGTATATCTCTATTTAGGCTAATGGTTGACTGGGAGAGAATGCCCTATGGCATTAAGTCGGCTATATGTACAACTTTGTGCATGAAAGATTAAATAAATAATATATATATATATATATATATATATATATATATACATATACATATATATATATATATATATATACATATGTCGTAAATTGATGGCGCCATAGTGCAACAAGCAGTACCATCTAACAATTAGCATTCCGAACTAAGAATATGTACCCACTCATGTTAGGATGGACGAGCGGACGAATTGGTGTTTGTTACAAGAATGCATAAAGATACACGCCCGAGGATGGTCGTACTTCAGGATGGCCGTGTCGGAGCGTCTATAAAATATCACTTGAATCAAGGTGGACATGAGGGTATATCGAGAAACTCCCACTTGTTTGTGCAGTATAAAGTGCACTGTAGGTGCCGTACGCGAGAGATTCCGCTTAAGTCATTCAACGAGTGTGGTCACTCTACTAGTGCTAAGATAGTGTCGTGGTTCTGTTCATTGTGGTAATTCTTCTAGTGCAGGCAAGGAGGATGGGTGTTGCTGAGAGGCTGCCCTGTATTACACTGAGATAAGTAGTGTTGCTGTTGGTTTACATATTTTGGTGTTATTTTTTATATTATATTATATTATATTTATATTTATTACATTTATATTATATTAATTACATTTTAATTACGTATCTCACATTATACTGTTGTGTGATTTTGGCGGAGACGTGTTACGGTGTAGTAGAACTGTAATTTCACTATACTGAATGTATAGTGCGTTACGTTGTCTTATTACTGATAATGATTAATTGCGTAAACACGAGAGCAAGTTGAACATCCGCTCTCACATTTTTATTATTTTTAACGTTTAACGCTATCCTAGTGTATTTCCGAGATCACAAGTGCAATACTCTGTTGAAATCTTCGCCATTTATATATATATGTCGAATTGTAAAATTTTGTATTTTCAGAGAAACAATTTGTGGTTTATTTTGAAGATCCTCAATAATATACCTTAAAAAACGACATTTTTGTTAACTAAGAAAAGATGGACCGGCTGCAATTTGTGTTTACGATGATAGCCTCAAATGATGGCAAATCTAATGTACTAGCCATAACCTCAAAATCTACGGAAGAAAGAAAACGTTATGTTTTACCCGAGGAGCTGAAGCCGGTTAGTCATCATACATATATTGTCAAAATGAACACTTTCACAAAAGTAAAAAATTGCATAAAGAAATGACACCAAAGTAGAAAAGTATGTATAAAATTGGATGAAAATCTAAAGAAGACATATGTAGTTGAGGAAAGTGATATGCAATTTTAAGATCAATATTTAGAAGAAATGAGCACAAAACAAGCAAGAGACAAAGATGACAGTTTGCAACATATCTTGAAACAATTAATAGAAACTACAAATATGAAAGAAATTCAACATAACTTTAAACATAAAACAGAAAAATTCACAAGCAAGAATCCTAATGCGATGAAATGAATAGAGATTTTTGAAAAAGAGTGTGCGCGCTTCAATATAATAAAAGATGAAAAAAATAGATATATTGAGATTATTTTAGATAAACCTTGTTTGGATTATTATAGCTCGATGATCATAAAACTAACAGTAAATTCTGAATGGAGTGAATGGAAAGACAAATTTTTAGAAACTTTTAAAAACCGAGGATGGGACATAGTCACATATGCTCTCACATTTAGGTATAAAGAAGGACTGTTAATTGATTATGCCATAAAAAAAAGAACGGCTTATATTAGATATAAACAAATCTATAGATTCCAAAACAATGATAGATCTTATTGCAACTGGTTTACCTGGATTTATCTTAAATAAGTTAAACAGGGACGAACTCAACAACACTACTGATTTGTTCAACGAGATAAGAAGATGTGAAGGTATGATGTACAAGAAAACCTCAACTAACATAAAGAGTGGTATATTTTATAATAAAAATAAAATTAATGAGAAGAAGCCATGTTAGGCTTGTGAATCTGTGGACAAAGGAATTAGATATCATCCGGAGGAGTCATGTTGGTTCAAGAAAAATAAAAATGAATCTGAGAAGGATCAAAAACTAAAAATGTAAATAATAACTCCATCATTGAAGTAGACATAAATGCTGGTAAAAAACTAGTAAACACCATTAATCAAAATCAAGCTTTTATTAGAAAATAATCTAGAAGTAAGCGGCATTCAGGCTCACAGATTTCTTTAATAAATTCAAGATTGATAAAAGTAAAAGAAAAAAAGATGATGTGAATATAGCATACATGAAAACGGTTAATGGTGTGAAGAAGACGGATGGCTTGATAACAATAAAATAAAAATATTTGATTTAGAAGAAGAGGTGGATGTATACATAGTGGAAAATGAAGATTTTGAAGATTTCATTATTAGATTGGATATGATTAAGAAATTCAGATTAACTCAAAATGAGAACTTGCAGATAGAACAAAAGAAAATAACACATAAAATAGACAGAATGTCTAAAGATAACAGAAATGAAGATAAGAATATAAAAATATATGCAGTAAATTTGAATGAACACATAAAAACAAAGGAATTTATAATTATGACAGACCATTTAGATAATGAAAAGAAAATTGAGATAGAGAAAATTATAAAGGAATATAGAACAATTTTTGCTAAGGACAAGTATGATATACTTGTCCTTAACAAAACTAACTGTATGGTACACAACAAGATAGACTGTGTGTAATTTATCTTGTAGTGTACCATACAGTACACTACAAGATAAATTACACATTCATTCATTCATTCATTCATTACAGCCCTTCACAAGTCCACTGCTGAACATAGGCCTCCCCCAAAGAATGCCACAAAGCACGGTCCTGAGCCACCTGCATCCATCGACTTCCTGCATGTCTTACCAGGTCGTCACTCCATCTCGTGGGGGGACGCTCTACACTTCGCCTACCGGTACGAGGCTGCCACTCGAGAACCTTTCTTCCCCATCGGTTGTCGGTTCTTCGAGCTATATGGGCGGCCCACTGCCACTTCAGCTTACTAATCCGTTGGGCTATGTCGGTTACTCTGGTTCTACTGCGGATATCCTCATTCCTAAGTTTATCACGCAGAGAAACTCCGAGCATAGCCCTCTCCATAGCTCGCTGAGCGACCTTGAGCTTCCTCATACGACCAGCAGTGAAGGACCACGTCTCAGTTCCATAAGTCATCACTGGCAACACGCACTGGTTGTACAATTTCGTTTTCAGGTTTTGAGGTATGTCTGACGAGAAGATGTGTCGTAGCTTCCCGAACGCTGCCCAGCCGAGTTGAATCCGTCGATTGACCTCTCGGTCGAAGTTGGACTTACCTAGTCGGACTATTTGTCCCAGGTAAACATACTCGTCAACAACTTCGAGCTTAGTGCTCCCAACAACTACCGGCATAGGTGTGACATGGACATTGAACATGATCTTTGTTTTGTCCATGTTCATCTTAAGACCTATCCGTTGGGAAACACTATCGAGGTCATTGAGCATAGTGCTTAGGTCCTTCAGCGATTCTGCCATAAGGACTATATCGTCGGCAAATCGAAGGTGAGTGATGTACTCGCCATTGATGTTGATACCGTATCCTTTCCAGTCCAGAAGCTTGAAAACGTCTTCCAATGCAGCAGTGAAGAGTTTCGGGGATATGACGTCACCCTGTCTTACACCTCTCTGCAATTGGATAGGTTTCGTACTCTGGTTCTGTACTCGGATAGCCATCGTAGCCCTACTGTACAAGCACTTCAACACTTCGATATACCGACAGTCAACTTGGCACCGCTGAAGGGACTGCAGCACCGCCCAAATTTCGACGGAATCAAAGGCTTTCTCATAGTCCACATACGCCAGACATAGTGGCAAATTGTACTCTTCGGACTTCTGTACAATTTGCCGAAGGGTATGTATGTGGTCTATGGTGCTAAAGCCCTTTCGGAAACCGGCTTGTTCGGGAGGCTGGAAGTCGTCAAGACTGCGCGCGAGACGATTCGTAATGACTCTCGAAAACAGCACGTAGACGCGGCTCAGAAGGGAAATCGGTCTGTAGTTCTTCAAGAGAGCGTTGTCACCTTTCTTGAAGAACAAGACCACCGCACTTCTGCTCCACGCCTCCGGTGTAATGCCACCATGGAGGACGGAATGAAAGAGCTTCTGAAGGACTTCAAGTACCGGTCTTCCACCCGCTTTCAGAAGCTCTGCTGTAATTCTATCCTCGCCTGGGGCCTTACCGTTTTTAAGGTGCTGGAGAGCCATTCTAATCTCGCTCAGACTGACGTCCGGGATATCTTCGGAATAGGGTCGGATGAGACTCGCTCTTGGATCGTTACTCACAATTGCGTGTGGCTCCAACGATGACGTGTACAGCTGCCCATAGAACCTCTCAATCTCACTCAAAATCTCAGGTGTCCCGGAAACGATGCTGCCACATTCTGTCTTCAGCTTTGACAGGTGGCTCTTTCTGGCAGACAGATCTCTGGCAAAGACTTTGGAGCCTTGGTTCCGCTCGATCGCTTCTTCAATACGAGCTGTATTGAAGTTGCGTAAGTCCCGCCGCATGCATTTGGAGATCTGTCTGTTCAGATGCCTGTATGCTGTCAAGTCTGTTGAAGAATGTAGCTTCATCTCCCGTCTAACAGCCATGAGATTAAGAGTGTGATCGGAGATTTTTTGTGTTCTTCTGCGGCGGGTCTTGCAGAACTTAGCTCCGACCGCATGGACAGTTTCCACGAGCTTGTCATTCATATCGTCCACTTCATTGCAGTCTTCTAGGCACTGAAAACGGTTTCGTAACTCGAGCTGAAAGGTTTCGGCGCCGTGTAGTGGCGGTCAAGAATACCACTACCCCATATCTTCCCGTGGGTGTCGTAAAAGGCGACAAAGGGAAACAGGCAGGAGATGGGCAGCAGCATCTTTCTGATAATAGCCAAAATTACAATAAAAAAACTGCGGTTGCCAACCCGCTCGCCAAGCGTGGCAACTATGGCAAATACCCCCCTATGAATGTAAATTACACACAATTGTACAATACAAGATAAATTAGAAATTGAAGAGCAAATATCCATGTTACTAAAGAATAATTTAATAGAAGAATCTTACAGTCCTTTCGCTGCTCCAGTGACATTGGCATTTAAAAAAGGCATTTAAAATAGAAAATCCCGTTTATGTGTAGATTTCAGAAAATTGAACAAAATCGTTGTACCACAAGCTCAACCTTTTCCTTTGATTGATGATCTAATTATTAAAAACTAGAACTTGAAATTTCTAAATCTTGGATTGGATATGATTAAGAAATATTTTACTACACTGGATATAAACTCAACATTTTTGGCACTACCATTACGGGTGGAAGACAGAAGTAAAACAGGATTTGTCACACAAGATGGCCACTTCCAATGGACCTGCGTCCCATTTGGCTTGAAAACATCACCAGCATTTTTCCAGAGAATTTTAAGCAATATTCTAAGAAAACACAATCTCACAGGATACTCTTTAAACTATATTGACGATATTTCGATATACTCGTCTACCTTTGAAGAACATTTAAGGCACATAAGAAATGTATTAGAGGCAATAATTAAAGAAGGCTTTAGATTAAAGTTTAAGAAATGTACCCTTGCTTCAGACTCGGTAAAATACCTAGGCCATATAATTCAGAACAATTCAGTAAGACCACTAAAAGACAATTTGATTTCAGTAAGGAATTTTCCAACTCCTAAGACGCAAAAGAACATCAGACAATTTTTGGGAAAAATAAACTTCTACCATGAATACATAACAAGAAGTGCAATAATCCTAGATCCATTACATAATTTATAAAGAAAAAAACGAGAAGTTTGTATGGTCAGAGAAGTGATCATTAAATCAGATAAAAAGATATTTATGTTCTCAACCGGTCTTGGAAATATTCGACAAAGACTTACCAATCAAAATCTTTACCGATGCATCTTTGGAGGGCATTGGAGCAATATTAAAACAGACACAACTAGATAATAAAGACAAATCGGTGGCATATTTCTCAAAAAAACTGAACGAACATCAAAAACTGAAAAAGCTATATATTTAGAATGTCTTGCTATAAAAGAAGCCATTAAACATTGGCAGCACTGGTTCATTGGAAAACAATTCATTATTTACTCAGACCACAAACCTCTAGAGAACATGAACATTAAATATAGGACTGATGAAGAATTGGGTATCTCACATATTACTTATCTCAGTATGACTTTACAGTAAAATATATGCCTGGTAAAGAAAATGTAGAAGCCGACTGTTTAAGCCGAAATGCTGAACTAGAATCAGCAGATAACAGAGAGAAACTATTGAAAATAGTTAATTTAATACAAATAAAAGATTTAGTTGAAGATCAGGAGAAAATGAAATAATAAAAGAAAAGAAACAAAATTTAATGCACAATAATAAAATCTATTATAAAAAAAATTAAGAAACAGGAAAAGATTATCCTCTCAAAAGAATTTAGTAAGAAACTTATAAAAAAATTGCATGAAAATTTATGCCATATTGGGATCAGACAATTGCAGAAGAAAATAATTCCTATATATCCAGCTATAAACCTAACAAAAATATTATAAATATTTGTAAAACATGTGAAATAAGCATAAAAAATAAATCAAGATGTCAAAAAATTTGGATTAATGTCACAACTGGAACCAGCTACAAAACCATTTGAGATAATATATCTATATAAAAGATAATATATCTAGACGGCATATCCCCACAGCATCTGATTGACCTTACCAGCTACGGCTCTGGTGTAGCTGGTGAACAGTTGACCACAAGCCTCACAAAACTGGTCAATCTCATGCTTATGGGAGATGTTTGCCCGGATGTGACGCCGCTGATATATGGAGCAAATCTTATTGCCTTGGCAAAAAAGGATGGTGGCGTGCGCCCCATCGCAGTAGGTTCTACATTCCGACGTTTAGCAGCCAAGATCTGCGTCCGGCTCACTAGAACAAAATTACAGGCCCTCTTTGAACCAGTACAAGTCGGATTTGGAACGCGTGGAGGTTGCGAGGCAGCAGTCCACGCTGTACGTACCTTCCTTAAAAGTGATTCATGCGAGGTTCTTCTAAAATTAGACTTAAAAAACGCATTTAATTCGGTCAATAGGGACACTCTGCTAAAAGAAATTAAAATACATGTCCCGGAAATTTATAACTTCCTTCTCCAGTGCTATCACTGCCCCTCAAAACTAGTTCATAAATCTAATGAGATTATTTCGGCCGTAGGCTGTCAGCAGGGTGATCCCCTGGGTCCAGCAATATTTAGTTTGGCAATAAATCCGATAATCCACTCCCTAAATTCAAAATTAAATATTTGGTACCTCGACGATGGGACCTTGGCCGGAGACGCGCAGACAGTCCTAGCTGATTTGGTGCATGTTAAACAGCATTTCAATCGCATTGGTTTAGAATTAAATTATGACAAATCTGAATTATATATTTCGGACAAAGTAAATCCACTAACCGCTTCCCAGATCGCTCAAAATTTTAACAACATTGCTCTTAACATTAAAATAGTAACGAAGGACAGTCTGCACCTCCTCGGCTCCCCCATCTTTGAGGAGGCCATTCCTCTTCTCTTAAATAAATCAACAACAAACTTCAGCAAGTATTCGGACCGCCTTCTCAAAATTAGTAGCCACTCTGCTTTATTTATTTTAAAATTCTGTCTGTTCGTCCCTAAATTCACTTACATGCTTCGCTGTTGCCCTATTTGGAAATTCCCCCATTTGATCACACCTATTGACACTCTAATGAAATCCAAAATTGAAAACATCCTGAACATTCACTTGAGCAAACAGGCTTGGACCCAAGCCGCTTTACCAATAAGGAACGGCGGCCTGGGAACACGCAAAATTTTAAGTGTGGCTTTGCCTGCATTCCTGTCTTCAATCCACAGCACGCTAGATCTCGCAGGTAGAATATTAAAAGCCCCAGCGGGCATTAACTGCAAGATTGCATGTTTGGACGAGGCCACGAATGCATGGCTAGCTGGACCGAGTCCAAATCTCCCATCCAAACCACATAAGCAAAGGGCCTGGGATACAATAGCGTCCGTCGCCACCTTACAAACTTTAATAGAGCCTTCAACTGGCAGGGACTGGGCCAGGCTGTTAGCTGTGTCCAAGCCAGAATCTGGTTACTGGCTCCAGGCATATCCCTCGCCCAACACTGGGACTTTTATCAACCCGGACACTCTACGCATAGCCGTCGGTCTCCGGCTGGGAGCTGGGATCTGCACAGGTCACAACTGTGTTTCTTGTGGGACTCCAGTGGACCGACTCGGCCACCATGGCCTGTCCTGCACCTCGGGCGCCGGCCGCCTGTCCCGCCACGCTGCTCTCAACGACATTCTCAGAAGGGCGCTCGTCAGTGCCAACGTTCCCGTCGCTCTGGAGCCCCAGATTGTGCGGAGCGATGGCAAGCGCCCTGACGGAATGTCGCTCATACCCTGGAAGTCGGGCCGTGCGCTGGTGTGGGACGCCACCTGTACAGACACCCTGGCGGCGTCCTATCTACCAGTAACTACCAAACGTGCGGGGGCGGCGGCGGACGCCCGGGAACGCCTCAAGGTCTCTAAATACAGCTGTCTCGGCGCCCAATATCAGTTTTTTTGCTTTCGGCGTCGAGACACTAGGTCCCTGGGGCAAAGGTGCGCTGGAAGTCCACAGGGAGCTCAGAAAAAGGTTGAGGGAGGCAACAGGCGACCCTCGCGCCGGCGGCTTTCTCGCGCAAAGAATTGCAATCGCAGTTCAACGCGGGAATGCTGCCTGCGTGATGGGCACCCTGCCAAGAGGCCCAGGCCTCTTATTTAATTAGTTATTTTATTTTATTTTTAAGGTTTAGTTTTAGTTATTTTAATTTAGTAATAGTTTTAGTCTAGTATTATTTTTTTTTTTTGAGGTAAAGTTGGTTTGTTACACAATGTCATTTAATTGAGAAGTTGGTTTTAATAAACGAAATTTATTAAATTAAATAAGGACATCTATTTGTAACTATGAAAAACTCTCTAGCTAAAAATTTAAAGATTTTTTTATTATTAAGTTCATAATATATTATATTTACTTTAAGATTTTTACAGATGGCGCTATTTTAAAATATATTTGAGATAATGTTAATGGATACTATTGGTGGCTTTGGAGGATCTAGATCTACAAAGAAATATTTACATCTTTTAGTAGACCACTACACAAGATATGCATTTATTGCGACTTCAAAAACTCAGAATGCAAGTGACTTTATAAATCTAACAAAGAAAGTACTAGAGATAGATGAGATTAGAATTATCCTGACAGATCAATATCCGGGCATTAATTCAAGAGAATTAAAGCAATACTCGTATTTGCAGGAGAATAATATAAAGTTAATTTTTACAGCTGTGAATACACCATTCTCGAACGGCTTGAATGAAAGATAACAAACAATAGTAAATAAAATAAGGTGTAAAATGAATGAGAAAAATAATAAGAGAACATGGACAACTCTAGCAAGAGAATGTATACAGAAACATAAAGAAACAGAAAACTCCGTTACAGGTTTTGCTGCAAAATATTTACTGGATGGTACAAATGTCAGTATTCTACCAAATGAATTTAAAAGAATAGAAAAGGAATACAAGTGGATCGCTGATAGTAGATTGACATTAGAGAATACAATAAAATCCCATGAGTACAACAAGAAAATATTTGATAGAAATAGAAAACTGCAAGAGTTTAATGTAGGAGACAGTGTATATGTAGAAAATGAAAATAGACTGAATAGAAAGAAATTAGACGAATTAAAATAGGCCCTTTCAAGATAATAGAGAAAATATCGAACTCCATTTATAGGCTTGATACAGGCAACAGAAAAACAGAATCAACATTATTTCACATAACAAAATTACAACCTGTCGTAACAGAAGAAGACGAAGGAGAATAAAACGAACATGAAGATAACTTATAAGTACATTTTATAGATATATTGCTTAGAATTTTCGCTCTTATGGGGGGGGGGGAGATATAATGAAATGAATAACATTTCATTAATTTGAATTTGCTGCGCTTCGCGTATCTATGTTGTCTGTGGAAGATGGTAGAGGGCGCATCGAAGTGACGTGTGAACTATGATTCAATGGCGGATGATGTTAGGATTATTTTGTGCATTTTATTGTTATTAAAAACTTGTAGAGAGATAAACAGAAGGATATGATTGAGGAAGCGATATTAGTAAACTTTAAATGTCGTTTCTTTGTATTTTCAGGTGAGATAGAAGTGTAATTGTCATAATTAGATCAGAGAAACAATTTGTGGTTTATTTTGAAGATCCTCAATAATATACCTCATATATATATATATGCATGTAACAAATTTAATATAAGTATTATTCATCGTTAACTTGTCATTGGTCATAACCAAAACAAAAGGGACAGCATACATGCCTAGATTGAGAGACAGACTAAGGACAGGATTATTTATACCCCAGACCTAACACAGATCATCATTATTATCATCATTACAGCCTTTCATAAGTCCATTGCTGAACATAGGCCTCCCCCAAGGAATGCCAGAAATCACGGTCCTGAGCCACCTGCATCCATCGACTTCCTGCATGTCTTACCAGGTCGTCACTCCATCTCGTGGGGGGTCGCCCTGGACTTCGCCTACCGGTACGAAGCTGCCACTTAAGAACTTTTCTTCCCCATCGGTTGTCGGTTTTTCGAGCTCTATGGCGGGCCCACTGCCACTTCAGTTTAATAATCCGTTGGGCTATGTCGGTTACTCTAGTTCTACTGCGGATATACTCATTTCTAAGTCTATCACGCAGAGAAACCCCGACCATAGCCCTCTCCATAGTTCGCTGAGCGACCTTGAGCTTCCTCATGCGGCCAGCAGTGAAGGACCACGTCTCAGATCCGTAAGTCATCACTGGCAACACGCACTGGTTGTACAATTTCGTTTTAAGGTTTTGAGGTATGTCTGACGAGATGTGTCGTAGATTCCTGAATGCTGCCCAGCCAAGTTGAATCCGTCGATTGACCTCTCGGTCGAAGTTGGACTTACCTAGTCAGACTATTTGTCCCAGGTAAATATACTCGTCAACAATTTTAAGCTTAGTGCTCCCAAGAACTACCGGCACAGGTGTGACATGGACATTAAACATGATCTTTGTTTTGTCCGTGTTCATCGTAAGACCTATTCGTTGAGAGACACTATTGAGGTCATTAAGCATAGTGCTTAGGTCCTCCAGCGATTCTGCCATGCGGCTACAACGATGACATGTACAGCTGCCCATAGAACCTCTCAATCTCATTCAAAATCTCAGGTGTCCCGAAAACGACGCTGCCACACTCGGTCTTCAGCTTTGACAGTTGGCTTTTATTGGCAGACAGATCTCTAGCAAAGACTTTGGAGCCCTGGTTTCGCTCGATCGCTTCTTCAATACGAGCAGTATTAAAGTTGCGTAAGTCCCGCCGCATGCATTTGGAGATCTGTCTGTTCAGTTGCCTTTATGCTGTCAAATCTACTGGAGGCAGCTTTAAATTCCGCCTAACAGCCATGAGATTAAGAGCGTGATCGGAGAGTTTCTGTGATCTTCTGCGGCGGGTCTTGCAAAACTAGGCTCTGAACACATGGACAATTTTCACGAGCTTGTCGTTCATATCGCCCACTGCATTGCAATCTTCTACTCACTGAAAACGGTTTCGTAGCTCGAGTTGTAAGCACGAGGGGGACGGGGTATTGACTTCATTAGATGATCTCTTCAGCCGCTTCAAATTTTCAGAAACAATTAAACGCACCTTTGGTATTTTCATAGCGTACTTAGTGATAAATACCTACAGTCGTGATGATTGCCAATCCTTCCAAAAATTTCAAAAACTATTTTTCGGTTCTTTTCTGATATCCTTTCATATCATTTTTAATGGCAGCTTTTAGGACCAGGGCAGGGCGTATTTTTCCATTTCTACTGGTACTACATACCTCTATTCATTTTGTATTTTCTCCAGCTATCCTTCCATTCTTGTTATTATTTCATAATTACTCCCAAAAACAACCCTTGTCTTTTTTAATGTTTGAACTTCGTTTGCGTCGACTGCTTCGCTGATTAGGAGTACTCACTGCAGAATTCCAAGAAACAAAAATTCCACAAATTATATAAAAAAAATTAAAATCCTCAAGATTATGATGTTTTCTGTCTACTTCGTGTACGTAGCAAAAAGTTAATATCTCAATGTTATAAAAATTATGTAGCCTCTATTGAGACTAAGTTTCGTAACAATACAAAGCGTTTTTCGTCTTTTGTTAATAGCAAACGTAAAGAGAGTAACTCGATACCACATTCGTTGAAATATAACAGCCTTGAAGCTTCTGACCATAATGGGATATGTGACCTGTTTTCAATTTATTTTGGTTCAGTTTTTGAGACTAATTGTTTTCATGACTCCTCCTTGCTCTCTATTGATGTCTTTCTCAGGAGTACCCTAGCCTCTGTCTCAGTTACGATTGAGAAAATCATTAATGTAATTAAAAGTATTGACTCTTCTAAGGGAGCTGGGCCAGATACAATACCTCTTTTTTCATCACGATCTGCGTAAATGAAATCAGTTTTCCACTCATATACTTTTTAACTAATCACTCTGTTTAGGAATTTTCCCTGGGCGATGGTATACGGCTCACATAGTCCCTATTTTCAAAATTGGAATTAGAGCTTGTTGAAGCGCCTGTCAAATTATATTAGCAGTTCTCATGCCAATATTAGTCCGTAAGCTGTGTAGGTATGTTTAAAAAATGTTGTACCGGTCGTCGTTGTAAAATTTAGAGATCAAGTAAAGGTCGATTGAGCAAATTACTGCATTTTACTATTAAAAGAGATCAAATTCCTATTCATGGTCCTAAATCGAAGCCGGATTTGAAAAAACGTAATTGGACAAGATATTATTTAGTGGAATACGCTTGGGAAGTCTTAAATATTCGTTGTGGAAATACGACCGAGGGAGTGAAGATATTTAACCAAGAAATCTGGAGTCTTAGCCCCTTAGATATTGGACTATTATTTAATTTATTTAACCCAGCACTCATTATCAGGTAGTATTTTGTGTAAATCGACTGCTAATTTATCAGGTTAGTACCAAATTACCTATAAAATAATTACGTATAACTTAAAGTATTTAATCGGCTAAAATTCATTTAATATTGTTTTATATAGTTTCTAATAACCGTCAAATCATGATTAAATCAAATTATAAAGCTTAGTTAAATTATATTGACGATATTATAATTTTTTTTTCTCTTTATTGGTTTAAACTGTTTTTTAAAAAATAAGTCAAGAGAGTGTATAATTGAAAAAATTGCATAATATTATTTATTACATACTAAGGCATACCTGTGAAGCTGTTTGATGGTCTGAATTGTATTTGTTACCCTTAATTGTTGTTAATTATAAAGTTAAATATCAAGGTAGTACATGTACCATTTTGTTTAATTATTTAAGAGTTTGAAAAATAAGTAAGGGAATTAGTTTTCATTTCTTTACAACTGTAAGCAAAATTGTATAAAACTACTTATGAATTATATTTTATAAAATATAAACTTCTTGTTTGTATAAATTTCAGGCATTTGCACTAGTCTCCCAATACCAGCCAGCATGCCAGAAGATAAGGAGCAAATTAGGAAACGAGCTAGTTACAAGGGACAAATAACAGCTTTTTCAAATTATTTAAATTCACTGAAGGTATCTTCATTGGCTGCTACTGAGGTAAATGAGTTGCAATTACGTATTAGTAGGATTGAGTCAATGTATGAACGATATGATGAGGTACAATTATCCATCGAGTGTA